AGTTTAAAAAGTATTTATTTATTATAGTAAAATAAAGTTTATAGTATATTAAGAACTAGCTTTATAAGCTACTATATATAAGTATTACTAGTATTAACTATAAACTTAAGAAGAGAAAAGAGAGAAAGAAGAAGCTTTCTATTCTCTCTTTTCCTCTTATTATATATATATAAGTTTAATATATATTTAAAGCGTACCTAATAAAGTACTAATATAGTGCCTTATACCTACTTAAGCTTATAGCTTAAGTATATTATATTAACTTAATTATATTAGTTTAGTTTATACTTTCTATTAATACTATTTTATTCTTAAACTAAATAAAGAAGTCTATAAATATTTTATTTAAGTATTACTATATTTAGTTTAATTTAATAAGAGCTATTTCTTATTAATAAAGATTAAAGTATATAGTAGCTAAGTAGTTAAGAAATATAGTTAAGTTATAGTTTATAAATACTTTAACTTTATAGTAAAAAGCAATTATTTAGTATAGTAAGTGATAATCTAGAGAATATAATATACTACTATATTAATTTATAAATTAGTTATATCTAGTTATTAATAGTTTTCTAGAGAGTAGCTACTTTAGCTTAAGTACTTAATAGTATTACTTTACTAGCTAATAGTAAGTTACTCTTTATAAAGTTTAAAAAGTATTTATTTATTATAATAAAATAAAGTTTATAGTATATTATAAACTAGCTTTATAAGTAACTATATATAAGTATTACTAGTATTAACTATAAACTTAAGAAGAGAAAAGAGGAAAAAAAGAAGCTCTTTATTCTCTTTTTTCTACTTATTATATATATATATAAGTTTAATATATATTTAAAGTATATTTAATAAGGCACTAATATAGTGCTTTATACCTACTTAAGCCTACAGCTTAAGTCTATTATAGAGCTGTAGCTTAAAGTATTAACTTAATTTAATTGTAATAACAGTATTTAGGGACAGAATGCTTAGTTTTTTAAGTACCTAGATAACTAAAGAGCTTGTATTTATACAAGACGTTTGTGAGAGCCTAATACCCAAGGCCTTGTGATAAGGCAGCCCGCCTACAGCCTAGTATATTAAATCATAAGAAGGAGTGGGCACAGACATATTCAAGCAGCACAACATTAATTACCGCTGCCTTTACTAAAGGCTATACTAGCCCCAGATAATACGACTAGTCTGAATTACAGAGAATTACTGCATGCAGATCGAGAGGGGGGGTTCTAGTGGGTGTAAAGCCTCAAGAATATTAAGATGCCTAGCTGCATAGTGTTGTATTTAATACAACTAAGACTATAAATGTTAGTTCGCCTTCACGCTACTTCTGTTAGAACTGTACGTATTAATCAGCTATGTAGGATAAAAAAAAGTACATATAATCCTATAGAGTCTTAAAGGTCCTTAGTTCCTTAACCTAAAAGACTAAACTAATAAAAGATTTATATATATAATACTACTTATGTGTATAACTTAAGTAGGCAATAAAGAGGTCATGCCTCTTTATGCCTTGTTGCCTTAGTGCCTTAGTGCCCCAGTCTAATAGTAGCCTATGAGGGCGTCGTGATAACTGCAACCTTTGTGCATTGCAGCTCGTCATGTAGTTGAGGCCTTTTCTCCGGGTAACACGATTTCAATACGCGAATCTAGCATCAACAACAAAATCTAGTTCAACGTTCCGCCTCGCCTCAGCCTAGGGTTATATCAAGGCAGGCAACCTTGTAACTCTAGGCAAGGTTAAGGCAGTTATTCGGCCAGAAATGTGTAACAAACTAGTAAATAAATTACATTGCAGGGAAGAAGCACTACAAGCTCTATAGTAGTCAGCTACCGTTAACACATTAATACAGTTATCCTGTCATAGACTAGACGTAGTGTGCGTCGCGGGTGCCAGCTGCAGTCATACAAGTAGTGTGCCGGACCCTTTTAACCTCCGACCGTTAGGGCAAACGAGCACGTATTGAACAAGCCACGCTTAGTTGTTTAATCTGGCACTGTACAAGTTCCGCGCGTATCCACGGGATTCAACTAGGTAGTACTGTCCCTGCGGCGGATCGACCATACGCAACTAAACGAATCTGAGATCTGCAAGCGGGGTAAAGGGCTCATTGAGAATTTGAAGCGTGGACGGACCAATGTACAGAACGACCAACTAGAAGTGATGCGGATCGGTCCAAGTCGGATCTCGCCACGCTATCAACCAACCCACAATTTGCAGGGTTAGTTCGATGGCCAATCGCGTACTGATGTCTATCGCTAGGCTTACAGTAAAGTGGAAAGATCGCCAAGTAATATTAGGAATTTGTGGCAGGTAAGACCCTTATGAGGTAGACTAATAGCCTCTCGAACAACGCGAAGGCTCACAACTACTTCGCTAATTGGGAAAAGGAAATATCTTTGCGGTTGTAATATCTAGTGCTTCTACGGTCAAGTAGAGCAGACGTCATGTTACGGTACCAGCAAAGCAACAAGATGCTTGATGATATTTGTTTTGCTAGTTCCTTCTCTTTTAGCTTCTCACTGCCTTTGCAAGCTGAATGGCAGTGTCCAATCCTTGTAGGGCAGTAGTCGTTTGTCAGGGGCTACACCGGAAGCTGTAGACCCGGCTCTGCCAGGCCTCGGACATCCGCGCCAGACCTAGTCCGATTTGTAACTCACATTAAACAAAGTAGAGATGCTGTCGCGATGATGAAGTGTCCCTGCAACGCACGTTGTTTTGTGTGCAGACATTTCGCAAACTAGTGTGAGAGGTAATTATCAATGCAAGAATATTGTAATTAGCACAAGGTTGTGTGAGAGTCTGAAGCAGTACGACGAGAATATAAGCGTTGGTTGAGTCGATAATTCCAAGAGGAGAGTGAACTTCATAGTCCTTGTGGTGACAAAAACTTGTCGAGACAGTCTAGGCTAATCAATATCCATAGGGTTACTGCTAGTAGACTAGGTTAAGCAAGTCTACTCTAAAACGGGTCGGTATGCCATGCCGGACTCGGGGGCTTAGTTTTTGCAATTTTGCGGATAGTTATATTAATACAGATTCCCACATATCTGGCCAGATGAAGTAGACTAGTGAAGCCGGCCTGGTCTCTTGTAAAGACTTGCGGTAGACAGATAATTGCTTCCAACACAGCACCTATACATCCGGCGCGTACGGAAGGAATAGTAGTAGTATACACAATATAATAGTATTAAAGTAGGTGCGAAGAAATTGTCCGATAATGGAAGATAGAAACCCGTGCAACGCTAGCCAACGGAAAAGTGCTGGATCTGACCGCCTTCTGTACAAAGTTGCGTTCCGATAATAATGTACTGATGAGGCACTATGAAGGGAAACGGCCGGAAAAGAGTTAAAAGCCCTCCCCTTGTTGCCTGCGGCAAGCTTGATAGCCGAACGGTGTGGAGGTGTACATCACCATTAGACTGTGTTCCTGGGCCAGATTTTCCGCCGCATTTGGTCCCCAAATCCATACGTCAATGCATTAGCAAGCCCAACGAACTGCGTTGATGCTTGAAGCGCCGTCAGCCACCTCGGAGACCCTCCTCGCGATTCGGCGATGCGGTTAGCGATGCCGGGAATCCATAGAATAATGTACACAATTGGATATCCATTCAGAAATACTATCTTCCTGATATCTGGCGGTACCGGCATCGAGGAAAACCTGGTAGTTGTCGCAGGAGTCGGCGGATTAGCCGGGGGATCTTGGACTGGCCAGTATGGCTTGGGCCCAGGATTCCGGGAGGATCTAGTCATTGTCGCCATATCGTCGCTGGGACCTTGCGGGACAAGGCTGTGGTTTGAATAGCTATCGAGATCATACGACTCAGTGAAAGAGTCCGAGGCTAGGATTTCCTGCGTGTCTTGCGCCTGGTGATCTATGGTGGCCGTAAGCTGGCTCCGATGTCGTGTCGATGTCGTGGGTCTCGTTAGTATGACCCTGTTGAAGACTCTTTTGAGCCGTATGTAGATGCAGGTGTAGAGAGTAATGGTAGCAATAAATATGGCTATGCGCCAGCCATGAGTAAGAGCGTAACGCAAGCCGAGCTTGCTGGGTTTAATCCAGCACCAGTTCCCGCCAACGTATCCGTACGCGTCAAGTCCGAGGGCGACGTTGCCTTTAAGAGTTGGTCAGCTACTTCTTGCGGTATCCAGGAAGAATGTGCTTACTCGTAACCAATCCGGGGACCCAAGCCGACGCGCAAACCAACCCAACCTGCCATCGTGTCGGTAGAAAATCGCGCCGACTGCGGAAAACCGTACAAAAGACAATGATGGATATAATCAGGATATTAAAATCCACTGCCTGGACAGAAAACTGGCCTATCCACGCATTCGCGACGCAATTGGCATCCGCTGGTGCGGTTGGGGGCTTGGAGCCTTTTGCGATTATGATGATGCCAGATATCGTGTTATTGCAGCTGTTGATAAAGTCTACTCATGAGAGGTTAGCTAAATCGCCTGAGCAGAAGACCCCCAGTGTGGCTTACCCGCAACAAGTAGGTTGACAATGAGAGCATGGCGAAAGTGGCGTCCCGGCGGCAAGGCAACATGTAGTGCGAGGACCACCCCACAAGATACAAAAGAACAGATCGAGCCCACGAGGGTAGGAATGGCGATGACTCTGTCAACGTGTGAGGTAGTCATGGCTTTTGCTTTTGTGCAAAAGTAGCCACTTTGAAGAAGGATGAAGGATCTATATTTTCTATACAGGCCGCTCCATGACCCTGGACGACGGCGGATATAAGCCAGGGACTTTGCGAGTCGGGCTTGCGCATGGTCACATGTTTAGTCGAGCTATGGTCGCGTCTCTACAGGTAGGTAGCGTGGGCATTGTTACCCCCTTACTACTTGTTGCGTCTGGGCCTAGTTGATTTGTGGCGTCGAATCCGGTGATCTTCACGCCGGGGGTGTATCGTGTGTGGACCATGGGAGGAAATCTTGATCGCTGAGGCTAGTCATTACTTGCACACCTGCAGTAGCTAGATACAGTTGGAGAGGCTCATGGAGAAGGTTTGAAATTAAAACGTCTGACCCGTTCGCCAGAAGGCACGTACGTGGGTCGCTGCTAAGTCCTGGAAGGCAAAGAGTTATCTGCGGCGAAATAGTGGTTTACCAAGGGGTCCCAGGTCTTGTTGCCATAGGCGCTGCCTCCAAAGTCAAGGTAACCTGCCGAGAACGGCGGAGCAGGGAACTTGTTCAAAATGGAAGCCCTGTCCCCGAATGCCCAGACGGTGTTCATGCCCATGATTGCGTGTTGGGCAATATGGCAATGCATCATCCACACCCCAATGTTCCTTGGTGTTATCGGAATCCTCCATGCCCTCCAGCCCGAAGTCGTGTGAGGGAGACCCTTGTCCCCATATCTGTACAGGACGGTGGTGTCACGCGGAGCTGGTGTAAAGGAGAGGAAGCGCTTTTCGTTCTCGACAGCGTTGTAGGTCCCCGGTCCAGAGCCCAGGTCATAGGCATGCTGTCCATGCAGATGCATCGGGTGGAAGTCAAAATTACCCGTGACTCCCCCGTTGTTTTCCCACACAATGTCCACGACTTCGCCAACCTTTGCCGGAAATACTTTGGTGACGGGATCAAAGCCACCGTGCGCCAATGCGCGCGTGTAGTTTGTGGCGTGGCCGCCCCGATACTCTTGGATAAGGTAGGGCATCGCGTTGGTCGAAGCTTGCGCATTTTCTTTCCACGACAAGCCATTCTGTCTGTTGCACGCCAATCAGTACGGGTGAAGACCCGGGTAAATGGCAAGTAACTTACTCCCACACTAGGCTTCCATCGAGCTTACCGTCCCTGAAACGGCCAGTCGTCAACTTCTGGTTGACTTGGATGCGGACCGTCCTCGTCACCTCGGAAAGCCGAGGGAACTCGGATGCTGACGGTCCCGGCCTGGGTTGGAGCTGATATTCCAGATAGTCGCTTGTTCGACGTGGTAGGGTGACGGGCGAGGTAGGCGGCAACGAAAGTGGCAAGCTCTTCTTTGGCGGAGGACATTTGGACATGCGATAGCGTAGCAAAGCAAAGCCCGAGACTTCTTTGGGTCGATCGCGGCTTTCGTATCGAATCCAAAACTGCGTCTTTTTCGCTTTGCGAATGTCATGGCGTGATAATGTGCGCAGCAAATAGCTAAATCGCTGGCCAGATGCAACCTGGATGTGATCCACGACGACGGGTTGTGTGTAGGCGCCGTCTGCTTCTATCACTTCCAGGCTCGGGTGATGTTCGATGCCAATCTTGACAAGGGAGAGGACCGTAGCTCCTATAACGCGAAGACGATAGGTCTTTCCGGGCTCAACATCGATGATGTACGGCGTACAAGATGGGTCTCTGTCGAAATTGGCGGTGCCCGTGTGACCTTGGATGGAGATTGCTTCTGGTTCACCGGACCACACGAAAGGATCGGCGCGAAGACCAGACACAATGGTCTCGTCGTCCTTTGCATAGTAGTCGGCCACCGTCATGACCAAATCCTCGTCGTAGTTGTAAGCTGGCTCCAGGGCGTCTCGCACGATCAAAGCGCCGTGAGCCGTGACTTGTTGAAACCCGACGTGCGAGTGATAAAAGTATGTCCCAGCATCACCGTGCTCTGGGTTAATCTCGTAGTCGAAGAAGTGGTTCGGCGGAATGGGCCACTGAGTGACAAAGGGTGTCCCGTCAGAGAATGGTGCCGTTCTTTGGCTGAGACCATGCCAGTGCTGCTACTCGGTCAGTCTCGATGGTGTATGAAGGATTTGGACTGCGACTGACAACGGTCAGATTTTGGTCTGGGATCCCATTGTAGACTCGAATCCAGGTCGTCTTTCCCTCGGTTAGGAAGAGAGTCGGACCCGGGCTGGTACCGTTCAATGCGACGGAAGGTCTCGTGTTGCAGTTTACCTCGAGGGGAACGAGGCTCGCCTGCAGCACGTAGTCGGGTTGAAAGGTAGCCGCATCATGGACTTGCAACTCGGCCAGAGTCCCGGCGACGAACAGCACCATGTGTCCCAGCGACGAAAACATGGCAGCCGAACCGTATCCTCAATGTAGCATTGGAATTTTCGTTCCAGCCCGAACTGCGCGGCACGCCTGGCTAGATAAAGCCCTCTCGGGTCTCTCGGTTGTCAGCAACACCGACGCCAACGTCAACAACGTGCCCGGGAACTGCGCGAGCGAAACCCGCCATTCCTGGTGAGGATCGCCGCTTCTTGGTAAAAGAACAAGGCTAGAATGCCGCAAGTCGGGAAGCCTTATGCACCGTCTCGCTGTCGGTGAGCCAACAACACAAGGAGGCAGTCAATTGCCGTCATCAGTCAATTGCCGTCATCTACACAGCCCTACGGCCGGTGAAAAGGTCTCAGTCGTGAAGTACGCAGTATTTCCCATGTTTTCATCTGTTCTCCATCCATGTCAGGCAGAGTCGGCTCTTCTCCAACCTGAAACTTCCCGCTGCCAGGTCGCAAGTCTCGTATTGCGCATGCACTTGCATTGGGCCTTGTATTGTGCTCCTTAATTTAGATACCGCTGCATGTTGCGGCCCGGTGCTGGGGGATGCAGCAAGCTGGCCACATGTGCATCGTGCATACAGCACAGCTTGTTCCCGAGGACAACACCAGAAGATTCTGGGACGACCACCCGGAGCCAACGGCCCCGCTAGAGACGAAGTCGTCCACGCAGTAGTTGGTCCAATTTCGCCCCTCCCCCGCCCGCGTTGCACCGCTAGGACACGCGATGCGTCGCTACGCAGTCGCCTGCAGGGGTGGCGAGGGGCCCGTGAACCCAGCCGGAGCCTCCAAGGAGCCCCACCAAGGGGGGCTGAATGGGAATGTGCACGACGCACCGACGCTGCCTTGGAAAAGATGCTCGGAAGCTCCATTACCCCAGCAACTCGGTGGCCGTCCACATGACGCTCGGCTTCGGCGAGACGTTCGTCTACCTCAATCTCCTGTACTACGTGAGGTAAGAATCCCCTTCCCACAGCGGTAGCGGTCGACGGGGCTCCCAACTTGCCGCCGCCGCCCCTGCTTACGCCTTGTCAGCACCCTCATGCTTCACCGCGAGTACTTCCCCTTCCTGCCGACCCCGGAGTCGGAGCCACGGGGTCCAGTCGACCAGCCCATGCTGGGGGCGCCCGCCCCCGAGGGCTGGTGGGACGACAGCTCCCGACTCCTCTTCGGCGCGGCAGAGCACATCGCCGCCATTCTACACGAGGCCTCCGAGTGTGGCGTGCATCTCATGACGCCCTTTGCCGGGTTCTGCGCATTCTCAGCCGGCTACCTCAACCTCTACGTGGCGAAATACCCCCGAATGAACCTGGGCCGCAGCCCGCGAGCAAGCGACTGTCTCAAAATGTGTCTCGACTACCTGGAAAAGTTTCGACTTGTCTGGAAAATCGCCGACGGATGGGTAAGCCGCCCGCAAGCATGACACGACCGTGGCCACCGTTGCGCTAACATTGAGAGGGCGGCACGCGCAAGATCAAAACGATACACCATGCATCCGTGCTCTACGAGCGAGCAACCGAGGACCGGACACGATACCAGGGGCGCACACGAGCAGACTTTGATACTCTACACCAGTCTGTCCACGAGTTCCGTGTCGTGGATAGATCCGACGCGCATACTCGGGAGATTCGGGGCGCGGAGCGGCCCTCGGCGCAGGCGACTTGGCCGGTTCAAGGGCACGAGCACGAGCACGAGCACGAGCACGAGCTCGACACTAATACCTTGTTGAACCAGCTTTTCGCGGAAGTCAGCAATAACCTCGACGAGCAGGGGGCCTGGTCTCAATGGTGGCCGGCGATTGATCAGGTGGATCTTTAATGAGCTGCGTAATTACATCCGGGGTTTTTTTTTTCGTTGAAGCTTCCAATGAATGAGTGACGACCTTTGATTTTTTTGATTTTTTTTTTAAAAAGGGCTGTAATATCTGGTTTTCTATACATGTCCTATTTTTATTTCCCGGTCTAGAAAAACAGTCAACAGATAATGCACCTCTTCATATGGCTCCCCTCCCGTCACCGCCAACAAATGCATACCTGTCGCGTCAACCATTCGCCGTTTCTCCTTCCAATCACGCCTTTGCAAAGACCTTTCTCGAGTTCATCAGGCGAACAGCAAGCATAAAGAGCATGCCGACAAAAGGCGCCACAACCACGCCAAGAGGACGTTTTTTGAAGCAGCTAAAAAGGCACGTAAATGGCGTCTGGATTCTGTACTAGATCTACTAGAAATTTGGGACGAGAAGGGTGTACATTATAGGCGAAGAGGTTAATAGCGTTATTAGGTTGAAAATTGGCCCGCCTTGGTGTCCGGCCCGCCTTGCTGTCGAGCACCACCTTTGGTGGTGAGGGCTTTTGCTAGCCGAACCACATAAAGTGGGGCGGGCACAATTATTTACTACTGCTACTCGGCCTGTTGGCTGTACACCCCGGCCCCCGTTCCGTTGGGCAGGCCCAAGGGTTAGGGTTGGCGCGCCGGCCTAAGAGAGACGACGTGCCGCATGGCCAACTGAAAGAGACGGCGCTCCGAGCTGCTCCAAGTAGGCCCTTCAATAGGTCGTCTGCGCCAAGTGGTAATACCGCTCAGCATTGGCAGCCCTCAGTCGCTTGCCCCAGATTGCCATGGGAATCGCCAGCAAATGGACGAGCAGGCCCACGCCCGCGGCGAGAACAAACATGCCCGTGACCGTCATGCCCTCGCGCCACGGGTTGACGGCGAATGCGCCAATGACGCCAATGGCATTCCTAAAAAAGGCAATGACCACGAAGGGTTAGGGTTAGGGTTAGGGTTAGGGTTAGGGTTAGGGTT